GACAGATAGTTCACCCTGAAGCACTCTGATTCTATTCTTTTGAGGTAAACAGCTATTGTATTCTAACTCTGGCTAAAAGTGAAGTTTCCTCTTCCACCTTCCATATGCTTCCTTCTGAACCCCCATTTTTTGCCATGTATTTTACTGTAACCAGGGGCAAAGTAAAGCAGGAGGTTGGATAATTCTGAAAAACTGTAAAAATTGGTTGACAATTTTTTGGGGAAACATTTGGGTAATTGTCTTATATCCCCTTTTGTTTCACCAGTAGAATAGTGTTAACAGTGAGCTGGCAAATCTATGACAGACACAAACTTAGCCCCAGTCATTTAGATTGAATAACTGTGACCACACCGTGGTTTAGGACATGTTCATTGTCATCTGCTCCTTCTTAATGGCAGACGTTTGTTTATTTAGCAAGTACTTTACTAGCAATTGTATGCCAGAGATATATTAACATACTTGAGGGGCACCTTGGTGGCTCAGATGGTTAAGCGTCTGCCTTCGGCTGGGGTCATGATCTCAGGGTCCTGGGATTGAGTCCCACATTGGGCTCCCTGCTTAGTGAGGAGCCTGCTTCTCCCTCTGCCTGCCACTCCCCTTGCTTGTTCTCTCCCTCTCTCTCTCTGGCAAATAAATAAATAAAATCTTTAAAAAAAAATACTCGAGGTAAGACTATTTGCCCAAATCTGGGGAGACAAAATGCTTTAATAGAAGCCTTTTATTAATGCCTCTCTACCTCAAATATGCCTCCTTGTCTCCTTCCCTACAAATGTATTAAAGGTCAAGTGAAAGTTGTCTTTCTACTTCAGGGACACCCGACTCCCTCTTATTCCATACGTCTGTTTTTTTTTTTAAGGATTTTTTAAAAAAAATCTATTTGACAGAGAGAGACACAGCGAGAGAGGGAACACAGGCAGGGGGAGTGGCAGGCAGAGGGAGAAGCAGGCTTCCCGCTAAGCAGGGAGCCCAATGCGGGACTCGATCCCAGGACCCCGAGATCATGACCTGAGCCGAAGGCAGATGCTTAATGACTGAGCCACCCAGGCGCCCTAGACTTATTCACTTAACAATCTGAAATATTTATATATGTATTATTTGTTCTATTTTTTTTGTACACATTTAGTGGTTTTTTTTTTTTTTTTTAAAGATTTTATTTATTTATTTGACAGAGAGAGACATAGCGAGAGCAGAAACACAAGCAAGGGGAATGGGAGAGGGAGAAGCAGGCTTCCCGCAGAGCAGGGAGCCCGATGCGGGACCCGATCCCAGGACCCTGGGATCATGACCCAAGCCGAAGGCAGACGCCCAACGACTGAGCCACCCAGGCGCCCCTGTACACATTTAGTTTTATTGTAACAAAGCAACTTGTACACTTTTAAATTTTAAAACTGAGCATCATCTTTCCTTTCCAGTGAAACAAAAAGAAAATTTAAAAATAAACAGGAACAAAATTACAATAGAGAATGTCAATTCCAAATAAGATCCTACAGGTTCTGCTGATTCTCCCATTGAGTGGCAGGGCTCAAGTCATCATTTGGAGAGTTTTATTTTAAAAGTGTCATCTTAAACTGCAAGGATGTCTGTTAAACATCACAATTAAACATGCCAAAGGAGAAGCCATGTTGTCAAAATGCCCACTTAACCCACCCAAACATCTCAAACCCACCCTTTGCTGTCCTTCTATAACCCCATTTTTTAAAGTTTTTTTTTCTTTTTTTTAAACAAGAGAAAGTAGACAGGTACATGTTGGTAAATGCTAACTGTCCATATTCACATAGAGACACAGTGTAATCTCTGAGCCCAATATACAGAGAAAGGAGGAAAAAAGCTAGAATTCTATGCACTACTACACAGGGGCCTCGCACCCTCCAGCTTCCAGCAGAGCTAAGGGAGCAGAAGGTTTTTCTTTTTTCCCACAGAGCATGGTGGTGTTGATTCCATAAAGTTTTTGTTGAGACAGGAAGGGATAAAAATGAATTTGGAACAGAAAGGGGTAGGGATTCTTTTCCCACTGTATTCTGCTCAAGGTATTTCCCCCCAAAATAAGTTGAGAACCATGGTATAAAGGGAGAGAAAAGAGACTTCAAAAAACAGGGCGAATGAGCACAAGAGGAGGAAAAAAAAAAAAAAAAAGATGGCAACTTGCTCCCAGGGACTGAAGAAAATTAAAAAAGGGAGGTTGGAATCCATCAGTGTTCCATTAGTCATCTTCTCCTTCATCCTCCTCTCCTTCCTCCCCCTCATCATCATCTTCATCTTCTTCACCTTCATCCTCATCTCCTTCTTCATCAATATCTTCCAATCCTTTTTCTTCTTCATCATCATCATCTTCTTCTCCTTCCCCTTCTTCATCATCCATATCGGGAACCAAGTAGTACTATAACGGATTTGGCCAAATATCATCTTTGATGACCTCTCCTAACTCATCCGCACCTGCATCAGAATGGTCAGTAAACCAGGTGAAGAAGCTCTCTGGTTCCTCATGCTATCTCTTCCTGCTGGCTTTATTCTGTGTTTGACTTGAACGTTTCGTCAAATCCTTTCCAGATTTCCATTTGATTTCGGTGGATTTTGAAGCTGGATCACCACTCTCATTCAGATGAAATTCTTTGGAGAGAACTTTATTTTCGAAGTAAGGGTTTTCATCAAAATAAAAATCTATTCTGTAACCTGGTTTAATATCTTCAAATTCTGTCACTTCAATTCTTGTCAAATAATGCAGCGCCTCTTCATCCTCCTCCCCAAGCAGTGCAGACACTTGTGGATGGTTGACAAATGTTGTTACCCAAAAATTGGGGATTTTGGTGGTCAATTCCGACCTCTTCTGAAAAGATGGTTGGCGGAGTTTGTTATATTTCTGTTCTACTTTCAAAATCTCCTCACTGGCTTGTTCATTAAATCTGTCTGTTTCATTTTGTACTTCATCAACATGTTCAATTGCTTCTTGCTGTTCTTTTTCTCCCTTAGGCAAGTGCTGAGATGTTGACGTCTCCTGCAGCTTGGGGGCAGGAGGTAGTCTCGGTTTCTTCGTTTGAGGCAGGAGTGAAGACTGGCGTTTGGGGGCCATGCTGTGAGGAAACTCCACGAAACCAGGAGAGTCACGTCTCTCTTCTATTATTTTTAAAAAATTTTATTCATCTATTAGCACAAGCAGGGGGTGGGCAGGCAGGGGAAGGGGCAGGCTCCCCACCGAGCAAGGAGACTGATGGGGGGACTAGATATCAGGACCCTGGGATCAGGACTGAGGGGAAGGCAGACGCTTAACCGACTGAGCCACCCAGGTGTCCCACAATCTGAAATTTAAATCTGAGGTGTTTAGTTTTTCAGGGATTTAAGGAAAGGCAAGCCATTCATGTGGCTTGCCTCTTACCCTGGCAATACATGAATCACCAATTCAGATAATGAGAAAAATGCTCCATCTTTGGAGTATCTGCTTATGCAAAACAAGTTTTTTTTTTTTAAGATTTTATTTATTTATTTGACAGAGAGAGACACTGCGAGAGAGGGAACACAAGCAGGAGGAGTAGGAGAGGGAGAAGCAGGCTTCCCGCTGAGCAAGGGGCCCGATGTGGGACTCGATCCCAGGACTCTGGGATCATGACCTGAGCCGAAGGCAGACGACCAACGACAGAGCCACCCAGGTGCCTCAAAACAAGTCTTTAACAAACATTTGCAACCATAGGCGATTTGGTGAAGTCAAATTCATTTTAGTGTTTTTAAAAGGTGTACCGCTTTTCTGAAGAAGATACCCCGATGCTGCTTGTCTTTTCTCATGTTACCTCCCTCCCTCCAAATTTCCATGTGATGGTTGAAATTCGGTTTCCTTTTCAAGCCCATCCCAACTCTTTCTCTAGGCAATTATTTCATCTCTCAAACCAATATATTTTTTTCTTCTGGCTCCTCCGTGGTACTTCCTAACTTTTATCTGACTTCACTTTTTGCTTCACTTTCATTTTAGGGAACTACTAGTATATTAAAGATTATTTTTTAAGGCCGTATGACTTCAAAGAGTACATAAGGGTGAAAAACCACTTTCTTTAACGATACTTCTTTTTCACTAATGCATCAGGAAGAATACTTTATTGTTAATAGTGGGGGTGGAGGGGAAGGACACATTACGGTGACCCGTGGTTTCAATCCTAATGTAGCTTATCTTTTAAATTAATCTGAGAATGAGGCGAACCCAACTTTCACACTGGAAAATTACGAGAGTAAAAAAACCCCTGAGATCTACAGGCAAAATTAACCCCGCCTCCACGCTATTTGGAGCAGCTGTCTCAGGAATCCTCCCTTCCTTAGAATGTGGGAGAGGTTTGGTGGGGCGGCAGCTGCAAGGCAAGGAATCTTTCCCATTCCTCATGGACACGTCCCCCCTCCCATCTTCTTCCAAACGGTGGCAGCTGCTGGGGCATCCCAGTGGAAATCTCTAAGTCTTCGCGGAGCGCCGCGGGCGGGCAGCAGCTGAACGCAGTCAGGGGTGGGGAGTCTCTGCTCCCTTCAGACAAGGAAAACAGCCTCGCTGGCTCCAGCGCTACCACTTCTCTGGCTCATAGCAGTCCCTCAGGTGTCCTTCAAGTCCAAGAGGACACCTTGGAAACGTGGGGCGGGTTCTCTGTGCGCTAGGAGACCCTATGGTAACTTAACAACAGAAGAAGCTTCAGAATCACCTCAGCACTTGTCAAAGCACCTTCCCAGGTCGTGGGTGGGAGGTGTACGCGTGTGTGCAGGGAGAGTCGGCTCCTGGTAGGGAACGTCTCCTCTCGCCGGTCCGGGACACACCTGGTGTTATTTGGGCAACGCGCCCGCTTGGGTGCCCACCTTCACACGTAGTCCTGCCTGCAAGCCCGCGCCTAGCACCTCCGCCCTTTCGCGGCCCCCTAGGCCGCCCGCGCTTCCCCACCCCGCCACACGATTGCCTCCGCCTTCGCGGGCGCCCGCCCCACCGTCCCGCGCGCTCGCGCACGCGCACGCCGCGCCCGGCGGCCCCCGGCGCTGTCATGGCGGCGAGGAGTAGCTTCAGTGGGCACAGAGGCGTTCGCGCGAGCCGTGGCGGGGCGAGCTGTGGCAGTAGCAACCTCACCACCGCCGGCAGCGTCAGCCGCGGTGTCCATAGCGCCAGCAGCGGCGGTTTTTGCAAAGGCTGAGCGCAGGGGTCGGGCGGGCCAGGAAGCCATGGAGTTCTGTGCAGTCGCGGACTCCCGGGGAGCGGACTAGGGAAACTTGGAGGCTGCGACCAGGTGCACTGACCTCTCTCTCCTCCCTCTCCTCGCCGTCGCCGCCGGGCCTCCCCTCCCTCCTTGCCACAACACACACCTCCCCTCCTCTCGCCGTCGAACCTCAGGTGCCTGAGTGTTCCACTCCTCCCCCTGGGCCGAGCGTTGAGAGTAATCACCGCCCCCTTCCCCCGCCTTTTCCTGCCCTGGATCTCCGCCGCCACCTCCGTCTCGCGGCTCCCTGGCCGGGGGTGAGGACGAGTCCGGAGTATCTGGGTGAGGAGGAACTTTCTACTTCTGTGGTAGCTTGGGGGCTCCCTCCTTTCCACGGACCCTTCATTTCCCAGCGACAGTTTCTCTTTCCGTGCACCTGTGAGGAGAGGTAGCTCTGCGCCTGGAACCTGCGAGAGTGTGGGGGAGGAGTGAACCTGTTCAGGGGCCTCTTGAACCCGCCTTCACTCAGAACCTACCTCTTTGAGCCAGGGAGGGTAGCGGGTGGCTGGTAGTAAGGTCCCTTTAGCAACTTATTTGACGGACAGTAACTATTTACCTCTCCCCCCACAAAACCCTGAAACAAAACCTAGCGTATTTAACATTTATCTAATCTTCCAATAGGGTTTGGCGTTGTTGTCAGCCTCGGGGAGAGAGATTGGACAAATATTCTCCAAGAGGAGGAGGGCGACGCCAAGGACTTTCCCCATCAACTGCTTTTGGGTTTTCTCCACAACTTGGAAGAGTGACCCTTTTCCTGTTGTGTTGCGTGTGTGTGCTTATTCCTAGTGCAGCAATTGCTGTCCCATAGTGACTCCGAGTTGTCCTTTCTTATGAACTAGCGAGCAATGGCTAGTGAAGACAATAATGTCCCTTCCCCGCCACCAACAGGTGATGACGGGGGAGGTGGAGGGAAAGAAGAAACCTCTGCTGAAGAGGGTGCATTGTCCCTGAAACCAGGGCTCCCCATCAGGGGCATCAGAATGAAATTTGCCGTGTTGACGGGGTTGGTTGAAGTTGGAGAAGTATCCAATAGGGATATTGTAGAAACTGTCTTTAACCTGGTAAGTAGATATCTATTTTATAAGTATATATTCTTCTCAGTGGGTTGGGGAACTAGACTTTAAAGTTGGAGCCATGTGCTTGACTCAGACTGCTGATGGCTTTTTCCGTGGATGGAAGCACAAAATTCTGACCTAAATGAAAGAATTTTTTTTGTATTTTTCAGTTTAAGGGGAATTATGTAAATTTAGGTGCTCTAGGTTTTGCGAAAGTGAACAGATCACGTTTGTGCTAAGGAAATATTTGTTGCTTGGAAGCATTTTGTGGGGGTTCCAGTGGAGGAGTTTTATTGTATAAACTTTTTTTTTCTTGGGATATATAACTAAGTCTGCATTTCTCTTTAACATTTTAAAGATATTTTCATGACTTTTTTTGGACTTGAGAAATAAATGCCGTACATACTACTTACTCTTATTCTTTTGAGTCTGCCTAGGTTACGTTTTGCTGTAAGTTTTGATCATGAAACTTTTGTTCACAGATGAACAAAGATTTGTTCATGATGAACGATTAATTGGTCACAAAAGTTAGTATTTATATTTTGATCAGTTTTATTTTTAGACATAACTAACAAAAATTAAATTTTGGAATGAATTTAGAGTTACATCTTGTGAAAATTGAATGGCAATTTGGAAAGAGAATTCTGGCAGATGCAGTATAACCGAATCTATTTCTTTGGTGAATGCATGTCTAGCAGTAAAGCATACTTGGTTATTGGAAGTTGCTGGTCATACTGTGAACTATGAATGTTATTTTTGAAAGGTGGATATGCAATACTTTTTCTCTACTCCATTCTTAGAAATGGTTATTTCTAATGGGAACGTTTTAGATTTCTTTACTGCAGCCTCTCTTGCCCATCAATTTAAAGAATGAAAGGTAAATTTGGCCTTAAAAATACTTCCACCTCTTCTGCTTACTTACCTGTGTTAGAAGATAACATATGGGAACAAATATGAATGTATAATAGCTGTAATAACTGTTTAGTACTCTTCCCTTTTGCCTCTGTGTTTTCAAGGTTAGGCTTGTTTTATTCCAGGGCAGTTAATTATTTCCTTTACTAGAACTTTCCCAGTAGTCTGGTCACCTGCAGTACAACTTCTAGAATGAGAAAGGAGCTAAATGAAATTCACTTACTATTGGAGTATAAGAACTTTGAATAATAGGGTATTTTCTACCATTTTGTTTCCTTATATATAAATAACAGACACACGTACATATTTTTAAAAAACTATATATTATGGAAATGTTCAAATATATACAAAAACAGGATAGTTCTCTGGATCTGTTATCCAGTTTCAACAATTATCCAAAACTTTGGGGATCTAGTGTGTTTGTGGTCTTTAAAAGTTTATAAGTCTCAAGGAGGTAAATGGTAAATTGATTCATCCCTCTACCTCAAAATAGACTTGAAAACTGTTTTTTTAAATTTCTTTTTCTGTTTCTAAACCTCATGTACCTTGGATGACAAACAAATCTGTGGTAGTGATATAGACCATAATTAGTTGTTTGTGTGTGAAATATAATATTCCACTGGCAGAAGGAGAATTCGAACTCCTTTGTTCTTTAGAATGCCCTGTGTGAAGGTGGACAACCAAACATGAGTTACCTGCATTTTATTAAAGAAAATCCAAATTCTGTAGTAACAGTTTGCTTATATGCTGCGTAGAATTGTAGGCCTGGTATAGATAAAAGATTATTGGTTAAATTCTGCACAGCTACATGTTTTCAGAGTAATAGGTGTCTGGTAAAAGGAGAGGGAAACTCAGTTCAGTTACACCTCTTCTTCACCTCATTCTCTTCTCATGTAGAGCAAAGGATTAGATTAGGTCCTCCCTTTTCCGTTCTCCCTTATAATACTTCATGTTCCTTGATGGATATGTAGGGTCTTGGCAGTCTTTAGAAAATTTTGAGAACTGAAATTTTGGGAATCTGGTAAGCTAGTCCGTCTCAACATTGTTAGTACCACAGCACCTAAATATTTCCTGATAGTTAATCAGCCTTAATCTTCTGCTCAAAGAAGGAAATGACATTAATAATCATGATTTTACAGAAGTTATGATGTTTACTATGTGCCAGGCAACGGGCCAAGTGCTTTACATATGTTTTTAAATTCTTCTTTCAATAACTGTTTACTATATATCTCATTTTATAGATGAGGAGACTGAGACACTGAAAGGTTGAATAGAGGGCGCCTGGGTGGCTCAGTTGGTTAAGCGACTGCCTTCGGCTCAGGTCATGATCCTGGAGTCCCGGGATCGAGTCCCCCATCGGGCTCCCTGCTCAGCAGGGAGTCTGCTTCTGCCTCTGACCCTCTTCCCTCTCGTGCTCTCTATCTCTCATTCTCTCTCTCTCAAATAAATAAATGAAATCTTTAAAAAAAAAAAAAAGGTTGAATAGATTGCTTACAATTTGGTGATTCTTAGAATGGCAATCTTTCCAGGAGTACATGTCTCTTGAGTTGATGTAGAATTGTTTGCTTCTTTGAGCAGGTATTTTTTTTTTTAAAGATTTTATTTATTTATTTGAGAGAGAGAGAGAATAAGAGATAGAAAGCACCAGAGGGAAGAGGGCCAGAGGGAGAAGCAGACTCCCCGCTGAGCAGGAAGCCCAATGTGGGACTCGATCCCGGGACTCCAGGATCATGACCTGAGCCGAAGGCAGTCGCTTAACCAACTGAGCCACCTAGGCGCCCTTGAGCAGGTATTTATAGCTCAGGCATAACTTTTCTCAATATAAGAACACTTAATATTAATGATGAAATCTCCATCAGTAGAATTCATTTCTTCCCTTTTTTTTTTTTTAAGAGAGAGTGAACGTGAGCTGAGGGAATGGGGAGAGGGAGAGAATCTTTTTTTTTTTTTTTTAAGGTACACACAGTAAAGTTTATTTTGGTGCATGGTATACTTCATTAAAAATAAATTAATCAGCAAATTCCTGCCTGGCTCAGCTCTGGTTTATGTAAATAGCACCCAGCTGTAATGAGTTACAAGGTGTTACTATCTGCCCACACAGTGCGGGCTTCACTCTAGAACTCAAAAAGGAGAGAATCTTAAGCAGACTCCACCCTGAGCCCAGAGCCTGGCTTGGGGATTGATCTCTTGACCCTGAGAAGGTGACCTGAGCCGAAATCAAGACTCAGAGGCTTAACTGACTGCGCCACCCAGGCGCCCCTCATTTCTTCCTCTAACATTCGAATAACTTTGACAAAACTGCTTTAAGAAGTAAAAAAACCTGCTTAAAAGCAGACCAATTTTCTGGTCATTCAGTTGGTTTTTTTTACTTGGCATGTGGATGCAGAAAGATTATCATTAGCATTTTTTATAGTCAGTATATTGGATTAAAATTTATAAAATTGTGAAAATACAGAATACAGACAGAAGAATATGTAATATATTTAAGTAATGAAGTATAATAATGATATAAGCCCTGTGAATCTTAACCAGTATATTACCAGTATCACTGAATCCTTACTGTGTTCTCCTCTATTCTACCTTCACTGGATTTTTCATTAGTAAGTTTAAACTATTTTAGTTATAACTTTCCCTATATTTGACGCATTTTGTTAAAGTAGATTATGTCCTACTGATTCTTTTTTACTGATTACATGTTAGCTGCTTTAAGTAATAATATTTGTGCTGTTAAAGTTAACAACTTCTCCCCTGGAGTTGTCCAAATTAGTGGTAAAGCCATACATACTTCCAGAGATCTTTACAAAGTGCTGCCTCCTAAATTTGCTAATGTAGCTTGACCTTACTGTAACTTGACCAAAATTCCTTTGAAATTTACCACTGCTTGTAATGTCTTTTGCAAATCTGTTTTATAGGTAAGTTTTGATTAATAGTACACCTGTGTATTCATGTGTTTCAAACTTTTAGTCAACGTTTACATTTTTCTTGTTGCAACTTAAAACCATTTCATTTTTTTTTTTTTAACCTGTATGCTAAAATCATTTGTCAGACATTTGGACCCAGAGTAATTAATGTATTGGCATGTTTTCAGGAACTTGCTGCTGAGTTTAAGGCTTCCATCAGGTCTTTAAAGGTATTCAGTTCAAGGGCGCCTCGGTGGCTGGGTTAAGCGACTGCCTTCGGCTCAGGTCATGATCCCGGAGTCCTGGGATCGAGTCCCACATCGGGCTCGCTGCTCAGTAAGGGAGCCTGCTTCTCCCTCTGACCCTCCCCCCTCTCATGTACTCTCTCTCTCTCATTCTCTCTCTCTCTCTCAAATAAATAAATAAATCTTTAAAAAAAAAAGGTATTCAGTTCAAGAATAGTGTTTCCCATGGGCTAGTGACAAATAACATGTTTTAATGAAATTTGTTTAATAATTAAAATGTTAAAGCTTAAAAGGTGGAACATAACTTTTTATGACTCATTATATGTCATTTTATGCAGGTCCTGCTAAAACGGTGCAAACTTATAATACCTATAGGACTTGAGCATATCACATAGAGGCTCTGTTCATTCGTATTGACTGTGTGCAGAGGGTGTACTTGTAGACTTAGAGAGGCAGTTTCTATTCCATTCTGCTTGGTTGTTGGACTACAGTAACATGGGCCCAAAGGTGTCATACCTTTTGATTTTTCAGGAAGAATTGGAAATCGACATTTTAAAAAATAACATTTTAAAATGTCCAATTAAAATACTACAAACCACTGTGTGAGACATAAAAATTTCACGTAGTTATTTTTCAAGCCTTTATATGAATGTTTATTAGAAAGATAACACAAAATGCTTCTTAATGTGCTCCCCCAACCCCCATGAATTTGTACATCATGTTATAAGTAATAGAAAACTTGAACTGGTTTTAAACACAATAAAAAGGATTTATAGGCTCATTTATCTCCAAGTCCAAAGGTAGGGCAAGACTTAGAGTAACACAGTAATACTAAAGATCAGTTTCTTTCCGTTTCTGTTCTGCTTTCTTCAGTCTGTTACTCTCATGATTGTAGGATGGCTGCTAGTAGTGGTTGGGACCACATATATTTTTGTTCACATCTCTTGGG